ATGTTCAAGGGCCATAATCATGATCTTTTAGTAGATGAAAGTAAACTCTTTTTTTACAAGTTTTATCGAATTGTCAATATACTGGTATAATATAATAGTAATAACCCCCGCCGAAGTTGGGTATACCACTTGATATTGCACAATTCACTCCATATATGCACTCGCCTGCGGCTCGTGCATATATGTCGTGAATTGTGCAATATCTCGTGGTATACCCGCCTTCGGCGGGGGTTATTGCTTAAATATAACATAGTTGAATCACCAAATTTAATATTATTTTGAAATTTCAATACACCTCTTTGTACACATGCTGTAATTTATATTTCATCAAGTTCAATTATATGACTTGTCATATGACTTTTATATAATAATATAATATATAATAATATAATAGTTTGTAATTCATGAATAGATTTTCCATATCACTTATGCCATGATCTATGGAACTGTGTCAGTACGATATGTCTTTCATCAAGACATATATTGAATGCTGACATTAATGGCGTATAATGCATCACATGGCACTACCTGACATGTATTAAATAACATGACACAATTCATTAATATCACAGGAATACCACAAAGTTTACAAGAAGGTCTATCGACCGATGCACAATGGAGATTGATTCGACCAAGTACTACCTGAGTGCATACTTTGCGGTATTCTCATGATAACCTTATTATTATTACATCTTTTTTTTGCTTATTAGAGATTATATTCCAAAAACATCTTACACTGTTTGATGGTTTGCATTCAGTGATTGGATTCTATTTTCATCGTGCACTATAATGCTTCTGCATGTAGTGTAAACAGAGGAAGTTTTTAAATGTGATGTCAATAACCCATAGTGCATCAATGTTCATGACATAGTTTACCCCATATAAGGGAAATGTGCTGTTACGCTTTGTAACAATTACTGATACAGCTTTTAAAGAATGGCAAATTATATTGTTTACGATGTTTGATATACCGATATAATAATGACTTATATGAATTCACATGACAGATTTTAAATCAGAACTGCTATTCATAAACTTATGACAGTAAACCTTTAACCTTAATTGATCAAGGCAATATAAAAAGTATATGGGGCTTGCTGGATAAGGGTTAAAAACCAGACGATAAATTATAACAATACACCTTTGAAGACAAGACAATAAATTATAACAATACACACAATATATTATGGCAGTAAACCTCTTTAAGACCAGAGACAAATAAATTGTTACATTTAAAAACTAGACAATAAATTGTGTTAGTACAAGTTCCGAGACTCAACAATAGTTATGATATACATGTAGGTACACCTTTAAAGATTATACATGCATTGAATCATGGTTGTACATTTCTGAGCACACTGCAGTACATGTTCCCAGACATGCCAGTTATAATCTGAATTAAATGTTTGCATTATGTCCTATCCATTTCAAATTACTACAACATTATTGAGACATTGAGACAGAACTATACAGAACTCCTTTTTTGTCAGATTACTTGCTTCTGTATCACTGTAAAGTTTATTTTTTATTTTTCTGAACAGATGGAACATTATGAGATAACTGACAATAATGTGTTGGTGGTAGGTGCAACTAACAGACCTGATTTACTGGACAGTGCTTTACTTAGACCAGGTCGAATGGATCGCATAATTTATGTACCTCCCCCCGATAGTCAGGTAGGATAGTAGAGCATTTCTGATTGGCTGATGGAAAGCCATGAACTAATCATTAATCATTTTAAACCAACAGTGTTTTCAGTGTACAAATAATTTATTTACTCTTATTAGCCAAGGCATTCTGTTGCTTCATTGTTAGTCTCCTTCGGATGAAATATTGTCACCATTGTCTTGGCTGAAACAATAGACATGGGACCCAGAAAAGAAAATATTTGTGTTTCTGAATATCAAGATCAACTTCTGTCTGTAAAGCATGTGTCAATCAGCATCTGAATCTCAGACATGGCTAAACTGATAAATGTCAAACTTGTCTCTTATTTGCATCCGCATTTTATTTTGCAACCCAATTAGAGATGGTTGAGTGGCAAAATCAAGTATTTTTACCATCCTGAAACCAGATCTTGGTCATGCATGGGCAGATTTCTTTCAAACTTGGTTTATACATTGAACATAATGCAGTTTGAGTTATTTTCCAGTTCAGATTCAAAATTGCTGACTGGCAGCCATTTTTTTAATGAATGCTCTCCTTGACCAATTTCTTTGTCATGCTTTGACTAATCATATCTTATACATCATGTCAGATACGTGCACTGCCATTCGTTTAATCATCCAATTGAAGATGGCCACAATTCCACAATTGGGTGTTGGTCTTGCATGGACAGATTTAATTCAATCTTACTATATACTTTGAAAATAATGGGACTTCGATCCACATTATTTTATTTTAAAATCGATGGCTGCTGGCCATTTTAGTTCCCACTGGAGGAAGACAGAAACAGGGACTTGAGTTTTGAATGTTCGTGCATTTGTCTATCATCACTTCATGAATCATTCTCCAAGCATCTACTGAACGTGGTGAATCAGTCTCTGCCCCAGGCCAATTTGAATATTCTTGTATTCTTAAACGCATGCATATGGTGAACACTTGAACATCTATAGTGATACTCAAAAACTCCAAATAACCTCACTTAACTAGGAAACGTTTGTTTTTCTTCATTTTCTGCGATTTATTGGGATTGTTCACACAATTCTCGTGCTGAACGTTCCATTGAAAGCACTGGTACGGCTCCTCTATGTCATTATACTCAAGAGCGGGCCTACTTTTTTGTGTTTGGCAGTGTTTCCATGGCTATTTATTAAATTTGCTGAATTTTGGCTTGAAGAAATGTTTTTATATGAAAAACAAAACGATGAGTACCGGGGGTAATATATCATATTTGAATTAAAACATGTACTCTCTCAGATTGAGATGTAAAATATAACCTTGGGCAGAGGTTGATTGTGGACTCTCAACCACCACCAACAAGTCAAGGCTTTCAGAATGTTTCAGAACATGCCAGGGGTGACTTAGTTAGTCCCCGTTCAGATGCAGTCCGAAAACGGGGACTTATGGATCGACCTCTATGCGTTCATGCGTCAGTGTGTCTGTGCATGCATTCGCTCGGACCTGTATCTTGGACATGTCTGGATCAATTACATTCAAACTTACACATACATAATATTATACATATGCACATCAATTTGTTTCACAGTCTGATTTAAGATGGCCAAATTGCGGCCATTTTTGTACTGAAAAATCCTCAAGATCAAGCATTTCTCGACTGTTTACAGATGGATTTTGTTCAAACTTGGTATATACATTGTTCGCTATATGACCTTGATGCATGCCATTTAGTTTTTTAGATAAGATTCAAAATGGCTGACTGGTGGCCATTTTGTTTTAATGAAATTGACTCTGATATGCTTTGGCTGATGTTCAAATTTTTCAATTAATGCTGCTCCAGAGCAATATCTCTCAAAGTACTTGTACTATATTACTATAAATAAAACTATATAACTTGACAAGATTTGATAACTACCAAGGACTGTACCATGCATGGCTTAAAGTTAGCATAATGACAAAAGTAATAATGAGTTACATTTTCTTTTGTAAATTTTTTATTTGGCTGACCTTTGACTGATTCAACATTTGAACATGTTATCAGCCATTTCTCAGATCTGCTTCCACAGATTTCATTGAAACTGTTATTGACATTACTCATATTTTGTGAATCAATTCAAAATGGCCGGCTGGCAGCCATTCTGTTTTTTTTACTCATTTCTCAAATATTTTTATTAATTTTGTTCGAATTTACTCCAAAGACATTGTAATGTTTGTTTTCATTTATTTTGGATTACATTGAAATTGAGCTGACAGACATTCATTTTTGTTGCAAAAATTACGTTAAACTTTATTGACTTGCATTCAGTACAAATAAAAATGGGTAACTCATTTTACACATTTCAAAAATACAAACGAAAAATCAAATTTTCAAAAAAATCTAAATAAAAAAACAGTTTTCAAGTTCAAGTTAGAAAATAAAAAAATAAAAAAAAACAGATTAAATAAAAAAAAATTTCTGAGCTGGCTTGCATAATTGATTCCATTGAACATGCATGCATGACATTTCACTCTACTTGTTAACAGTACAAAGTATATAATACACCAATGAACCTGTACACAATTGTTTATTTCAGACTAGACATCAAATTCTTCGGGTTCATACACGTCATTCCCCATTAGCAACTGATGTCAATCTACAAGAAATTTCTGCGAAAACAGAATTGTACTCTGGGGCAGACTTGGAGAATCTATGTAGAGAGGTAATGGCCCTTCAAAACTCATTATCAACTGTTACTGTGTTATCATAAGAAACAGTTACATCAGTGTTTGCTATGTTTGATAATTACACTGATGTGGATACCCCTCTTCCAAAAATTTTAAACTTCACCTTTTGTAATGATTAGTCTGGGTGTCTGTCTGCTCATCCACCCACCCGTTGTCTGTCTGTGAATGTAATTGAAATACTTCAGTATGAATGTTATTGAGGTGCTTCTATGAATGTAATTGAAATACTTCAGTATGAATGCTATTGAGTTTCTTCTATGAATGTAATTGAAATACTTCAGTATGAATGCTATTGAGTTTCTTCTGTGAATGTAATTGAAATACTTCTGTATGAACGCTATTGAGTTACTTCTGTGAATGTAATTGAAATACTTCTGTATGAATGTGATTGAGTTACTTCTGTGAATGTAATTGAAATACTTCTGTATGAATGCTATTGAGTTACTTTTGTGAATGTAATTGAAATACTTCTGTATGAATGCTATTGAGTTACTTCTGTGAATGTAATTGAAATACTTCTGTATGAATGCTATTGAGTTATGTGAATGTAATTGAAATACTTCTGTATGAATGTGATTGAGTTACTTCTGTGAATGTAATTGAAATACTTCTGTATGAATGTAATTGAGTTACTTCTGTGAATGTAATTGAAATACTTCTGTATGAATACTATTGAGTTACTTCTGTGAATGTAATTGAAATACTTCTGTATGAATGCTATTGAGTTACTTCTGTGAATGTAATTGAAATACTTCTGTATGAATGCTATTGAGGTACTTCTGTGAATGTAATTGAATAACTTCTGTGAATGTAGTTGAAATACTTTTTTATGAATGCTATTGAAGTACTTCTGTGAATGTGTGAATGTAATTGAAATGCTTCTGTATGAATGTAATTGAAATGCTTCTGTATGAATGCTATTGAGTTATATGAATGTAATTAAAATACTTCTGTATAAATGCTATTGAGGTACTTCTGTGAATGTAATTGAATTACTTCTGTGAATGTAATTGAATTAATTCTGTATGAATGTAATTGAAATACTTCTGTATGAATGTAACCAAAATACATCTGTATGAATGTAATTTAAATACTTCTTTATGAATGCTATTGAGTTACTTCTGTGAATGTAATTGAAATACTTCCGTATGAATGCTATTGAGTTACTTCTGTGAATGTAGTTGAAATACATCTGTATGAATGCTATTGAGTTATGTGAATGGAATTGAAATACTTCTGTATGAATGCTATTGAGTTACTTCTGTGAATGGAATTGAAATACTTCTGTATGAATGCTATTGAGTTATGTGAATGTAATTGAAATGCTTCTGTATGAATGTAATTGAAATACTTTTTTATGAATGCTATTGAAGTACTTCTGTGAATGTAATTGAAATACTTCTGTATGAATGCGATTGAGTTATGTGAATGTATTTGAAATACTTCTGCATGAATGCTATTGAGGTACTTCTGTGAATGTAATTGAATTACTTCTGTGAATGTAATTGAATTAATTCTGTGTGAATGTAATTGAAATGCTTCTGTATGAATGTAATTGAAATGCTTCTGTATGAATGCTATTGAGATGCTTCTGTATGAATGCTATTGAGTTATATGAATGTAATTAAAATACTTCTGTATAAATGCTATTGAGGTACTTCTGTGAATGTAATTGAATTGCTTCTGTGAATGTAATTGAATTAATTCTGTATGAATGTAATTGAAATACTTCTGAATGAATGTAATCAAAATACATCTGTATGAATGTAATTTAAATACTTCTTTATGAATGCTATTGAGTTACTTCTGTGAATGTAATTGAAATACTTCTGTATGAATGCTATTGAGTTACTTCTGTGAATGTAGTTGAAATACATCTGTATGAATGCTATTGAGTTATGTGAATGGAATTGAAATACTTCTGTATGAATGCTATTGAGTTACTTCTGTGAATGGAATTGAAATACTTCTGTATGAAGGCTATTGAGTTATATGAATGTAATTGAAATACTTCTGTATGAAGGCTATTGAGTTATGTGAATGCAATTGAAATGTTTCTGTATGAATGCTATTGAGTTATGTGAATGTAATTGAAATGCTTCTGTATGAATGCTATTGAGTTATGTGAATGTAATTGAAATGCTTCTGTATGATTGTAATTGAAATACTTTTTT